AAACACGTTATCCAGCCCTGACAGAAAGATGAACTCGTGAGATATGAAAACAGTGAAATAAATTTCCCGAAGTCTATGAACATGTCACTTACTTGTTTTCTGTTGTTTTCTAGAGAAAAAACACCAAGCGAGTTCCAAGCTTTCGCAAGTTACTGAGAACTAGTAAAATAAAACTTGACAACAAATTAAAGAATAAACAGTACAAGCAGCAGAGTGCTGCTAAGAAGTACCGGAAAGAACAAAAGAAACTAAGGGAAGCTGTCAGAGATGCTATCTCCAGAAAACCTTTTCCACTGGAAGAATGCAAGAAAAAACAAGTTGGTAAGTGTTTGTTCAGAGTTATTTTTGTAATCAGAAAGGTACGAGAGTTACTAAATGTTCTGCTGCACATTTCATTTTCTGCACGCAAGTAATTGTTGTTCTTGTTTAAAGGAATGAAGGGGAGAGTTATGAAAAATAGAAAGTGTGGCCATTCTGGCAACAAGATCTGGCAGCTGGAGATGGTAGAAATGTGTTTACTTTAATCACTAGTGGATGCTACAATAAAGGGGCAGTTTTCTGGGGAAACACAAATACGTGCATGAAGGTTGATGAGCTCCAGGCTGAAGCAGGGTGTAAAATGGTCTCACAGGTGTAGGCTGAGTTAGATTTTCAGGTTTGAATTTACATATGGGGTCTTAATTTGTGTACATCATCTTCTAAAACAGTTGAAAAACATGAAGAAGAGGAAGAAGAGGCTCTTCCGCTGGACATGATGGATGAAGATGACTTAAAATTAATGGAAGATTTGGCTCAAAAGGCATCCTTTTTAACCAGAGATCTTTCTTCTGAGTGAGTGTCATTGTGACATCTTCTTTTCGTACCACTTCAGCTTTGTGTGGTTAATGTGTAATTAATATGTAATGCAATACATACATCAGGAGGTCACTTTCAGTCTGGTGTTTCTTTTCACTTGCAGCGTGGTGTTTCCTGAATCTGTCAGTACATTTAGTATTAATGTATTGATGTGTATCAGTACATTCTCCTGTTTTGCCTGACCTTCAGGGTACTGTTTCTGCACAGTGTTCCCTCCTGTGAGGTCTCTGCTGTGAGATGAATAGCATTCCTCAAACTGGAAAAAATGCTTTAATCTCTATACAGAGCCTTTTTTTTTAATATATATATAATATTCAGGACGTTCCCTGAACACGGGGCCACTCTACTTTCCATATTAGATTGCACATTGCTGTAAAAAAAATAAAGGTTCTGGAAGCCATGTCTGTAACCATATCCAACACCAGAATGTTCATACAAAACCGTTGTTGCCGGTTTGCTGGAGCGAGGTGCTGGGTAGAGTTCACACTGAAGTACACACAGGAGAGTGCTCCTGGTTGTATAATTGTACGTTTTTGCAAGTGCACTTTTAAGAATAGTCTGGTTACATGATTGATCGAAAATCTTACCTTTTCTGATGACTGTGGGAAGACTCTGTACACCTAGCTGCTGTAAGGTGGTTGTAATTTGCCCTGTAAATTTTAAACTTGTATTTTTCAGTGAACCTGTTCATGTCAAAAAACGAAAACATGAAAATGTGATGGACAAATACGAGAAGGTGCCAAGACGCATGCAGACTGAGCCAGAAAAAGAACTCATCCATCTGCTCCCCATCAAAGACAAGAGTGGAATTATTCCCCAGACTATGGAAAAGCCAGGTAAGACACATTCTGGAATTGGTGTAATAGCCAAGGTGTATATCATTTCTTCTTTTAAAATTCCGCAGTGTTTACTACATGCTTTACACTAGACACTCTTATTTTTGCAGTTCTCAGTGTTGCACAGGATGAAGAAGAGGATACAGAAGAAATGGAGGAAGCAGAGGGTAATACAACATCTTGTCTCCTTTTTGTTCAGTGTCTTTTGCTTTTATTCTTCTTTTCAAGACATCGTGGTTTAACCCCAGCTGGCAACCAGGACTATGCAGCCATTCCCCCCCAGTAGGGTAGGGAGAAGAGGGGAAAAAGGGAAAAAAAAAACCCTCATGGGTTGAGATAAAGACAGTCTAACAGAACAGTAACAGCAGAGAAAGTAGTGATGATAATAATGGTAAAAATATATGGAAAATGGTGATGCAATACAGTTGCCCCCCACCTGATGATGGGTTGCCCAGCCTGTCCCGAGCAGCGATGGTGGGTTCCTGCCCCCGGCCACCCCCATTTATACACTGAGCAGGACGTCTATGGTATGGGATATCCCTTTGGCAGCTCCTCCTGCCTGTGCTCCCTCCCACCTTCTATGGGAAGCTGAAAAAGTCCTTGACTTAATATCGCATAACTTAGAGACAACTGAAACAGTATGTGTTAGCAGCAGTTAGTGATTTTCACCCGGAACTGATGTTTGCATTAAGTTCCTTATTGTTGTGTCATCTTTGCTTGTTAGAAGGGAAATCTTGGCCTTAACTTAAAGAATATGTGCTGTGATTCTAGTTTGATTACTCTGAGATCATTTTGAAATGCAGTTCAGGACACAGACTTGTGTAGACTTTTGAGTGTCTGTCTTTGTCTTTGAAAGTTTTTACTTAAAAAGCCAGAATACCAGGAAATTCGGATTTGGATTTGCAGTTTGCTGTCCAGTGAGAGTCATATTCAAGTAACAGTTGCAGTTGTAACTCTGCTAATTCTGGGTCGTTATTATCTAAAGAGAATCTGAAGTTGAGGAAGGACATACTTGAAGGAAAATAATACTCCAAAAATGCAAATAAATGTATTTTTAAAAGAAAAAGGGAATGATGAATAATGGTGACCTTCCTCCCTACCTCTCACACCTGGTGCCAGGCTTTTCGGCAGAGCCCCTGCCCGTCCTCTCTCCCGAGGAGATGGCTGCCCAGAGGAGACAGAAGCTGCAGGAGCGGAAGGTGCACATCGCTGCCCTGGCCTCGGCCATTCTCTCTGCCCCAGACAGCAACGTAGGTAGCACTTACCCAACATGTGTTGTGCTGTGAGTCAGTAAATAAAAATCTCAAGTGACCAAACCATAGCAAAAGCAGAAAGATACATGAGTAGAACAAGGAAAAAAGTCGATAGTGTGTCACTTCTCAGGGGGCAGCAAATGGTGACACTGCTGCTGTGGGCTGGTACAAAGGATTTGAAGTGGGTGAAGGTCCAGGTGAATGTGTTTGTGTTGATCAGGAGTCACTTATCCCTCTGAATACTTGTGGGTTTAGGAGCAGTACTGTCTGTGATATTTGCTGGCCAAACTACCTTGTTCCTTAAGCATGGCCTTATTTAGGCTCTGATTTCATGGTTGTATCCGATAATTCTCAATGTTTCAGGATATGATAATAATTTTCTGTAATTCTGTGCAAGTTTGTAATAGTTGGGTAGTTTGAACATTGCCAAGATAAGAATGTTGGGTATCTAGTATTTCTTGGCTCTTTATGCAGTGCTAGGTAGAGGCTGACTAACTGCTGAGTTAGTTGTTTTCTCTTTCTACTGTTTAAAAATGCGGTATGTTTCTTTTGGCAAACCTTTGCTGAAATGTACCTTGTGGGTGATCTTCAGCTGACATTGGCTGCCTCTTTTCTTGATCAGATGAAAAAGCTGAAGGAGCTGCGTGCCATGCTGATGGAGCAGGATCCCAACGTGGCCGTGATTGTTCGCAAGCTGGTCATGGTTTCTTTGATGGAGATATTCAAAGATATCGTGCCTTCTTACAAAATTCGGCCTCTAACTGAAGCAGAAAAGGCTACCAAGGTGAAATACCAGATTTCTTTATAGAGTATTGTGAGTAGTTCAGATTTTTTAAGTTATGCCAAATATTAATAGTGATTTGTTGAATATGAATTTCTGGTTTTGAGCAAAGCACGACAAATACACAAGTTCTTGTGGACATTCTGAAACTGTGATCCTTCCAGGGGCAGAGGTCTTTGTTTTGAACCTTTGATTCTTAGGTACTTCTTTCAGTAAGTAGGTGACGTGCTGGTGATAATGGAGGGGAAAAATAGTTCATGAAAGCACTGTATCAAACCTGGGTGACTGCAGTCATAAACCTTGCAATAAGGGGGTGTTTTGTATGAAACTGAAGGGAACTAGAAAGAAGTTACACAACATTGTCACCTGATGGGCACGTATCTCTTTGAAATGCATTCAATAATTTGCTGAACAACCGCAGAGTACCTTGTTTTCTGGAGCTCGTTTTTAACCAATTCTTTAGAAGGTTTCTTGAATATGGATGGTGCAGTTTAGAGTCATGGCCTTAAAACAACATCTAGTTAATAATTTCACTTCAGTCTCTACACGTGAAATAGGCCTACTTGGAAAATGCCCTCTGAGCACAGAACAGGTACAGAAATATGTAGAAATGTTTTGAGCAGGACGTCTATGGTATGGGATATCCCTTTGGCAGCTCCTCCTGCCTGTGCTCCCTCCCACCTTCTATGGGAAGCTGAAAAAGTCCTTGACTTAATATAGCATAACTTAGAGACAACTGAAGCAGTATGTGTTAGCAGCAGTTAGTGATTTTCACCCGGAACTGATGTTTGCATTAAGTTCCTTATTGTTGTGTCATCTTTGCTTGTTAGAAGGGAAATCTTGGCCTTAACTTAAAGAATATGTGCTGTGATTCTAGTTTGATTACTCTGAGATCATTTTGAAATGCAGTTCAGGACACAGACTTGTGTAGACTTTTGAGTGTCTGTCTTTGTCTTTGAAAGTTTTTACTTAAAAAGCCAGAATACCAGGAAATTCGGATTTGGATTTGCAGTTTGCTGTCCAGTGAGAGTCATATTCAAGTAACAGTTGCAGTTGTAACTCTGCTAATTCTGGGTCGTTATTATCTAAAGAGAATCTGAAGTTGAGGAAGGACATACTTGAAGGAAAATAATACTCCAAAAATGCAAATAAATGTATTTTTAATTTGGATTTGCAGTTTGCTATCCGGTGAGTGATATTCAAGTAACAGTTGCAGTTGTAACTGCTAATTTTGGGTCGTTATTCTCTAAAGATAATCTGAAGTTGAGGAAGGACATACTTGAAGGAAAATAATACTCCAAAAATGCAAATAAATGTATTTTTAAAAGAAAAAGGGAATGATGAATAATGGTGACCTTCCTCCCTACCTCTCACACCTTGTGCCAGGCTTTTCGGCAGAGCCCCTGCCCGTCCTCTCTCCCGAGGAGATGGCTGCCCAGAGGAGACAGAAGCTGCAGGAGCGGAAGGTGCACATCGCTGCCCTGGCCTCGGCCATTCTCTCTGCCCCAGACAGCAACGTAGGTAGCGCTTACCCAACGTGTGTTGTGCTGTGAGTCAATAAATAAGGATCTCAAGTGACCAAACCATAGCGAAAGCAGAAAGATACATGAGTAGAACAAGGAACGCATAACTTAGAGACAACTGAAACAGTATGTGTTAGCAGCAGTTAGTGATTTTCACCCAGAACTGATGTTTGCATTAAGTTCCTTATTGTTGTGTCATCTTTGCTTGTTAGAAGGGAAATCTTGGCCTTAACTTAAAGAATATGTGCTGTGATTCTAGTTTGATTACTCTGAGATCATTTTGAAATGCAGTTCAGGACACAGACTTGTGTAGACTTTTGAGTGTCTGTCTTTGTCTTTGAAAGTTTTTACTTAAAAAGTCAGAATACCAGGAAATTCGGATTTGGATTTGCAGTTTGCTGTCCAGTGAGAGTCATATTCAAGTAACAGTTGCAGTTGTAACTCTGCTAATTCTGGGTCGTTATTATCTAAAGAGAATCTGAAGTTGAGGAAGGACATACTTGAAGGAAAATAATACTCCAAAAATGCAAATAAATGTATTTTTAAAAGAAAAAGGGAATGATGAATAATGGTGACCTTCCTCCCTACCTCTCACACCTGGTGCCAGGCTTTTCGGCAGAGCCCCTGCCCGTCCTCTCTCCCGAGGAGATGGCTGCCCAGAGGAGACAGAAGCTGCAGGAGCGGAAGGTGCACATCGCTGCCCTGGCCTCGGCCATTCTCTCTGCCCCAGACAGCAACGTAGGTAGCACTTACCCAACATGTGTTGTGCTGTGAGTCAGTAAATAAAAATCTCAAGTGACCAAACCATAGCAAAAGCAGAAAGATACATGAGTAGAACAAGGAAAAAAGTCGATAGTGTGTCACTTCTCAGGGGGCAGCAAATGGTGACACTGCTGCTGTGGGCTGGTACAAAGGATTTGAAGTGGGTGAAGGTCCAGGTGAATGTGTTTGTGTTGATCAGGAGTCACTTATCCCTCTGAATACTTGTGGGTTTAGGAGCAGTACTGTCTGTGATATTTGCTGGCCAAACTACCTTGTTCCTTAAGCATGGCCTTATTTAGGCTCTGATTTCATGGTTGTATCCGATAATTCTCAATGTTTCAGGATATGATAATAATTTTCTGTAATTCTGTGCAAGTTTGTAATAGTTGGGTAGTTTGAACATTGCCAAGATAAGAATGTTGGGTATCTAGTATTTCTTGGCTCTTTATGCAGTGCTAGGTAGAGGCTGACTAACTGCTGAGTTAGTTGTTTTCTCTTTCTACTGTTTAAAAATGCGGTATGTTTCTTTTGGCAAACCTTTGCTGAAATGTACCTTGTGGGTGATCTTCAGCTGACATTGGCTGCCTCTTTTCTTGATCAGATGAAAAAGCTGAAGGAGCTGCGTGCCATGCTGATGGAGCAGGATCCCAACGTGGCCGTCATTGTTCGCAAGCTGGTCATGGTTTCTTTGATGGAGATATTCAAAGATATCGTGCCTTCTTACAAAATTCGGCCTCTAACTGAAGCAGAAAAGGCTACCAAGGTGAAATACCAGATTTCTTTATAGAGTATTGTGAGTAGTTCAGACTTTTTATGTTATGCCAAATATTAATAGTGATTTGTTGAATATGAATTTCTGGTTTTGAGCAAAGCACGACAAATACACAAGTTCTTGTGGACATTCTGAAACTGTGATCCTTCCAGGGGCAGAGGTCTTTGTTTTGAACCTTTGATTCTTAGGTACTTCTTTCAGTAAGTAGGTGACGTGCTGGTGATAATGGAGGGGAAAAATAGTTCATGAAAGCACTGTATCAAACCTGGGTGACTGCAGTCATAAACCTTGCAATAAGGGGGTGTTTTGTATGAAACTGAAGGGAACTAGAAAGAAGTTACACAACGTTGTCACCTGATGGGCACATATCTCTTTGAAATGTGTTCAATAATTTGCTGAACAAACGCAGAGTACCTTGTTTCCTGGAGCTTGTTTTTAACCAATTCTTTAGAAGGTTTCTTGACTTACCCAACATGTGTTGTGCTGTGAGTCAGTAAATAAAAATCTCAAGTGACCAAACCATAGCAAAAGCAGAAAGATACATGAGTAGAACAAGGAAAAAAGTCGATAGTGTGTCACTTCTCAGGGGGCAGCAAATGGTGACACTGCTGCTGTGGGCTGGTACAAAGGATTTGAAGTGGGTGAAGGTCCAGGTGAATGTGTTTGTGTTGATCAGGAGTCACTTATCCCTCTGAATACTTGTGGGTTTAGGACTGTTATTTGTTTTAAAACTTCTTTTTTTTTTTCCAGCATTGGCTAATTTCAGGATTTAGCTCTCCAATGAATATGGATGGTGCAGTTTAGAGTCATGGCCTTAAAACAACATCTAGTTAATAATTTCACTTCAGTCTCTACACGTGAAATAGGCCTACTTGGAAAATGCCCTCTGAGCACAGAACAGGTACAGAAATATGTAGAAATGTTTTAATTTTAATACATTTCTAGGAATGTCTGTCTAGAAGAAAAAACTACTTAGTTATTTGTTACTTGTTTTAAAACTTCTTATTTTTTTTTCCACCATTGGCTAATTTCAGGATTTAGCTCTCCAAATAAAATTTAATTTGTGTTATGTTTACAGGTTAAAAAAGAAACTCAGAAACTGAGAGAATTTGAAGAAGGCCTTGTGAGCCAGTATAAATTCTACTTGGAAAATCTGGAGCAAACAATCAAAGGTACAGTCAATGCTTCCCATTTTTTGTAGTAAATGCAAAATTGTTTGAGGTGTCAGAGCTGCCCTCCTCTGACTGAATACTGCCTGCTGTCTTGAAATAGTACTTCGATAAAGTATGAAGGAGAATGTCCGCAGTAACTAAAAATGTAAATACTTAGAAGCTCCCCTCCATTCTGAACAGTAATCACTAACAATCATATTTTGTGCAGATTGGAAACAGAGGAAGTTGAAGAAGAGCAATGTCATCTCGTTAAAAGCATATAAAGGGCTGGCAGAGATTGCAGTGAAGTGTCTGTGTGAGCTGCTGGTGGCCCTGCCCCACTTCAACTTCCACAACAACATCATTGTCCTCATTGTTCCGCTCATGAACGATGCATCAAAAATGGTAAGTGATTTTCTGATTGGGGAAAGAGTTTTTGTTTTGCATGAAAAATAGTCCATTTCTGAGTTTACTCCACAGATCTTGTGGCTGGGTCTTTTTGCCATTTTCCAGGCTGTGTCCACGTTCTAATGAGTAAACTCTGTCAGTATTATCAGTTGGCCGTTGTCATGGGCTTGGCTTTACAGAAGAATTTGTTTGAATTCCCTTTTCAGATTTCTGAACTGTGCTGTGAGGCCGTCAGGAAGCTCTTTAAACAAGACAAGTTGGGCTACGCTTCACTGGGTGTGGTTAAGGTCATTTCTGGTCTTGTGAGGGGTCGAAATTACGATGTCAGGCCTGAGGTAAGAGTCTTTCTGTTGTACAATGCAATTTACTTCTCTCAATGGTTTAAAAAAATCAGAAAGTTAAAGTTAATGCAGCTGGTGGCTACAGATAGCAGAAGTTCCTTTCCTACACAGAAGAACCTTTGACCAGCGAAGCCCACTCACTGGAATGGAATTCAGGATTGCTTACTCTCCATTCTTCTGCTGTGGATCACCTTCCATTGTATTTGTTTTATTTTACAACAGGTGTTAAAAGTATTTCTTCACTTAAGAATTAAGGAAGTAGAATTACAAAAAGATGCAGAAGACATCGCACCAAAGAAAAAGTTCATGACATACAAAGAGAAAAGAAAAAACCTTTCAAGAATGCAGAGAAAGGTATGGCGTGTGCTTTCTCATGCTCTGCTTCAGTGACTTCTTGTAGCAGTGAGTTATAGCAGTGATGGCACTTCTGTTGCCATTGTTAACTCTCAGCATCAGTGATCGGTGTTTGAGTTGTACTTTAACATTTATGAGGTTCTACAGGGACTTTTTAACTGCCTATTATTTTTCTCTACCTGATGTTGATACCACTGTGGTTGTTTCTGCTAGGGAGGGGTATATCTGAAGTAGTTACCCTGCAGCATCACAGGGTGACTTGAGCAACACACTCAGCAGGGAGGGTGTGTGTTCTCTGGGTGTCTTTGGGACATGGATATCCTGGCCTGCAGCATCACAGGGTGACTTGAGCAACACACTCAGCAGGGAGGGTGTGTGTTCTCTGGGTGTCTTTGGGACATGGATATCCTGGCTGATCGGAAACATTTCATCTGTTGTCTTAAAATCATCTGTATGTTTTCAGTGGAGGAAAGCAGAAGAGAAACTGGAACGAGAACTCTTGGAAGCAGAAGCGTCAGAAAGTAAAGAAAAAAAACTGAAACTGGTAAATAATTTGGAATTACTTTCCTACTTTTGCAGAGTGTCAGCTCCTAACCATTCTGTGACCGAGTTCTCCCCTCCATCCAACCTGTCTGCATTCCACACCTCTAGACAATTGTGCCTGTGCCCGAGGTCTAGGTTTTAGTAAACCAGGCCCTCCCAGTTTATGGAAAGCAAACTTAAGCCATTCCTGCTCCCTTCTGTTGTCTGCCCAAAAAGGTGTTGGAATCCATCGACACACATCCTCAGGGTGTGGGCTTGGACAGAGAGGAGTGTTTTCACTTGAGTTTAAGCGAAGTAGAAATGTCTGGTTTTCATGCTTAAGTATTTTATTTTCTTTCCTTCAGCACACAGAGACCTTGAATATTGTATTTGTAACATACTTCAGAATCTTGAAGAAAGCTCAGAAGTCTCCGCTTTTGCCGGCCGTGCTGGAAGGTCTTGCAAAGTAAGAACAGAGTCCACCTTCTGTGTGTGTTAGAAAGAGATAAAGCACCAAAGGGGTTTGTGCTGGACTTGGTGTGATGAAACCCAGCAGGCTGTGGTGGGATTCCAGTGATGAGCTCCTCAGAACAGGGAGCAGTCCCTGGTGCTATGGGGCAGCCGGGATTAGGGGTTGGGGCTGAATCACCCCTCGATGTGAAGGTAGCAGTTATTCAGCATTTGATTTAGCTCTGCTTTTGAGGTGTGGATTTTGGCAATTCAGAACAGTTTGAGCTGAGTTTGCAGAAAATGTCTATAGCATAAAAATAAAAATCTCTTTGATTCTAGGTTTGCTCATCTCATAAATGTGGAGTTTTTTGATGACCTGGTGATTGTCCTTCATTCTCTCATTGCATCTGGAGTAAGTGGAGCTTATTTTATTACAGTTTCCTTAAAAGTATGTTCATTGGGTACTTAATCAGTTTTGTGTTCTTAGGGTTTAAGCTATCGTGAGAGTCTTCACTGCATTCTCAGTGCTTTTCATATACTCTCTGGTCAAGGTAAGAGATCTTTAAAAACAAGCTTTTGTTTAATATTGTCTGATAAATTAGTGGAGTAAATGTATTTATTTGGGATTAATGTTAATAGGTGATGTTCTTAACATTGATCCGATGAAGTTCTACGCACATCTTTACAAGACCCTGTTCAGCCTACATGCAGGTAACGCTGCGTTCTCCTTGGCAGGGTTACCCAGATAGTGTTTATTCTGCTTATTTGGCATCATAGCCTTAATATACTGTTAATAAACTACAGGTGTTTGAAGATACCTGAGTTCTGAGAACCGGTTTAATCTACTTTTTTCTGAGGTTGCCCATTGCACTCCTGCAGTACAGATACTAGCAGTGTTATTGCAATCATGGGAACGGGCTTTAATCATGTCATTCCTCAGGGAATGCCGAGTGTGTGCTCTTGGATAAGCATTTGTCTTCTCCTCAGTACAGGGTTTTTTACTTCCTTATAATTGTTTCTTTCAGTGGCAATTTTAAAATTCTCTATTTTTTCTCTAATAGGGAAAAATCTCTTAATTTTTGTAATATAGTTTTAAAAATAATCTCAGTTTAAATTCTGTTTTCCAAAATCTTCTGGTTTATATTCCTGATTTTTATAATTCTGACCTTCTAATTTGCTAATTTAAATTTTCTAATAATTCTGAGAAGCTGAATAGTTTATGGAGAAAAAGATACTTACGAAGTTTGAAAGTAATTATAATTAAATTCATGCATTTGTATTCACTAAGGAGGAAAGATTAAGAAAAAAACATTCTATAATTCTGGATGGATAAAAGACTGAATCTTTGCACCACTTAACAATTTATAAAAGATGACAGAATGAGTGCACTTGGGGTTAAAACACTGCCTGCTTTAATGTTTATACATTTTTGATGGAAAAAATATTTTCTTAGAAACAATTATACATTTTTTCTGCTCAAAGCTGGACTGTTTTTACAGACATGAGCATCCATCCTTTTTGGTATCGCATAATGCTCAGCTTTGCATGCTGTGTCTCAGGTTCTGCAGTCGGTAGCAGAGTATTTACCTGTGTGTTCTCTGAAATGGTTTTTGACTCTCTGTGTGAAATTGCGCTCTGGAGGCCGCACCAACGATGATGTGGAGATAGTGCTCCAGAGCCTGGACGTGATGTTTGCCCGGCGGAGGAAGCAGGTGTCCCAGCAGCGAGCTCTGGCTTTCCTGAAGCGACTCTCCACGCTGGCTCTCCACGTCCTTCCAAACTCCAGCGTTGGGATCTTGGCAACAAACAGAGTATTCATGCAAGTGAGTTGTACTTGTTAGAATTTTTAGTTTACTGGGTAAAGGGCTATTGAATTTTTTGACAAATTGATGTTACGCAAAATATTTTGAAGCGTCTTAAGAAGAATGATGAAAACAGTATCCGTAAATGCTGCTGAGGCTGAATAACATGGAATGAATCCATCTTCTCATTGGATGTGTAATATAAGCAACTCAGTCCTTTTTTGTGTCTTGTAGATGTTCCCAAGGATGGACCTCTTACTTGACAATGAATCCCAAGGCAGTGGGGTTTATCTTCCAGAACTGGATGAACCAGAGCACTGCAACGCCCAGAACACTGCTCTGTGGGAGCTGCACTTGCTGCAGGTTAGTGAGTAACTGAGTGAGTGGGGAAGTAAAAAATCAGCAGTAAAGAGCTGCTAAATGTAGAGAACAGAGGTCTTCAGGCTTATCAGTCAAATCTGGCCCATGTGAGCCTATTCCATACGAAGAGGAAGAGCAGCACAAGTGTTACTAGGAAGGAGTGAGCTGAAGAGGGGATGTTACACATGCCCTGTGATAGCACCACACTGGATCTCGCTGCAGGTTGCCTAGTAAGACTCCTTCGGAGGCTTTTTCAAGCTGTGAAGTTCTCTTGCAGTTCAGCAACTGGCACCTTGATACATCATTCCAGCCAGGGTGTAGAGTCTGGGGCTTCAGGAGGGTTTCCTCTGCCCCTTCTCCTGCCTGCTGGGAGCAGGAGTTAGATGAACCGTAGAGAGCACGATGTACTAGTGAATAAAAGTATGACCTGCACGTTCTCATTCACTTAGCCCCAGAAACTGACTGATTTTGGGGTGCTATTTTTCTGTCTCAACCAAAAGCAGAACCTTCCATCTTACTGAAAAGGAAATGAATGTGAGAATTCATAGGTAAATACATTATCCTTATCCCTCAGTCAGCTGCCTCCTTTCTTTTCTCTCAGAGACACTACCACCCTACAGTGCGGACGTTTGCAGCTCACCTCAGCGTTGGAGCTCCAGCTGAAGGCTCAGCAGCTCTTCCACTTGATTTGAGCCAAAGGTGAGTTACCAAAGAATTCTGCTTTTAAAAAGAGTGCCCTGAGAAGTAGCTGTTGCTCATAGTTCTTATTAAAGGAACCCCTAAAAATAATTATCCATAAAATTAAAAGATTCTGTTCTTCAAACTCACTTTCTTTGTTCTTCTGCCAGTACAGAATACTGGCTGCCTTTTCCTTTTTTTTTTTTCCCCCTTTCTTTTGAGTTGTTGCCAGGCGGTGACAAGGGTAGGAATCTCAGAGTGCAGTGAGCTTTCTTCCCACGGGAGCAGTGTCTGCTCCAGCAGCCCTGAGCTGAATGGGGATCAGGATCACTGAGCCGTGGCTGCCCACTGTAAAACTCAGAAACCAAGTTGCAGCGTAAGGTCCGTGGTGTGTTAAAACATAAGAACAACTGTCCTGGTTTGGACAAAGGCTGTAATTCAGCATCCTGTCCTCAGGACAAGGAAGAGCCACTCTCTGAGCAGTGTCCTGGCCTCCTACTGCTTCCAGCCGGGTGGGTTTCCTGGTACCCTGGTACCATTCCCTGTTTATCACCTCCTCATGGAATTCTTTTCACAACTGCTCCTGTCCCTTGAACCACAGTGTGCGTTTGGCAAATAGAGCTCTGTGTGCTCAGGGTTCCCTGAGCCCACAGCTCCTCATGTTAGGACCTGCCTTTTGTTGTGAAGCAAGTGCCCACATTTAATGGGCTTTTACTTGCACCGTTACCCAGCTGCTGGCTTCCCTTCTCTCCCAGGTGATGCGCATTCCTCCGAGTTCTCCTAAAGCAGGGGAGGCTGTGGGTGGCAGGTGTGTGGGAGAAGCTGCTCTTGCTTTGGTGAGATGTTACTTGGAAATGTGCCTAACGCCATTTTGCTTTCTCTGTTTGCTCTAGGCCTGCTACAGAGCTGTTTGAGGCGTACAGCATGAGAGGAATGACCTTCAATCCTCCTGTGGCGGCCGTGACACCCAGAAGAAAGGTACCACCTCGTGTCTCTGTGTCCCTTTTGTGCCATCCCAACAGAACCTGTACCCGCTGGCTCGCACTGCCGTGCCCAGGCATCAGCTCCCTCCCTTTGGCTTTCTGCTGGCTGTGCTGGCTGTGGCAAGGGCTGCCTTTAACTGGCATAAGGTGGCACTGACTATAAGGAAGGCAGAGAGGCTGTAGGAACAGTTCCACCTCCCCCAGCATCAGTCCACCAGCAGGATGAGTGCAGTAGCTATTATTTTACTTATCTTTTGTGCTTTGCAGTGGTTCAGTGCAGATTTCTTGTCTGTTTTCTGTAACAATGAACTAATGTTTGCTCAAAAAGCAGTGATAAAACACCAGCTGTTTCCCAGGGTGGGTGGTTGGCAGGGCTCTGGCTTTCCAGAGCCTTTGATTCAGCACATAGGACACTGGTCCCCAGGAGTGTCAGTTTATAGCTTTAAAGTGTAAATTTGAAGGGAACAAAGAGCTAATGTACAGAGAGGAGAAATGGGAGCACACTCTTAAGCTCCTCAGCACTGGATGTGTTCCAGATGCAGCTTCCATTAGATGTCCAGTGAGCGGTGTGTCCTTTAAAAAGTGACAAATAATTTTATTTCTTCCTAATGAAAACATTACAACCTATTAACCTTGCTAGTGCCTCCCATTTGTAACTCAGTAACGTCAGTTAAAGCCTTGAGAGCACAATTATTATTTTTCCATTTTAGAGAAGCAGGTTCTGCAAATGCATTAGCACTGCCTTAGTGTGTCCCCTGCCAAGGGCCCCTGCCGTGCCTGTCCTGTGGGGCATCAGAGGAGCAGCTCTGCCAGAACGGGGCAGGGACAGCGGGCAGGAGACTGGGCAGGGCTTGGGTAAGGACGAGCACAGGCTCTTGAAGGCAGCAGAAACAGAGGCAGAGGAAGGTAACGGAGAGACCAAGGTGTCCTTAGGTGGTTGTAGTGGAGATAACTGGGAAAATTACCTTGGAGTCTTGCCTGCTCTCTGGCTGTTTGGTTCTTTTTAACAAATTGTGTCAGTATCTGAGGTTTATCCTGCCTGTCCTGTGTGTGTAAGGATGGCCAGATCCACCTGAGCTCCATGGGTCTGGTCTGGACGCGCAGGGGCACAGGAGAGACATGGGGCTGCTCAGGGAAGCCCTGTTCAGTAACACAGCTAATACCTCTAATCCCCAGGACACCTTCTCACAAATGGATGCGTTTATAGATGAAGAGCTGAACAAACAGCTTCAGCAACACACCACCCACACCACCACCGCGGGGCACAAACCCTTGGATTTTGCCAAACACTTGAAGCAATCATCCCTGTCGTGACTGGAGCCATCCATCACCTTCAGTTCCTGCCTTAATTAGGGAGAAACACCGGCTGAAAGAAGTTTCCACTCATCGCTAAAGGAACTCAAGTACGTTTTTGTTTGAATGTAGAAACACACACAGGTGTAACAAACAGCAGCTTTTCAGGCACGTTACAAAGGCCTCTGTCTCCAGGTACCCACCCAGCCCGTGGTCCCGGGGCTTGGGAACCACAGTGGACAGTCATGGCAGTAATTTAAAAAAGATACAAAAACCAGGTCATTCTAAAATTGTTTGCAACCATGTATTATAATATTTTTGTTTATATATTTTTATAACAGAATATAGTTGTGTTTCTGAGAACTCACTGGGTTGTGTTGATAAATTAATAAATATTTTGGAAATTTTAATATAATACTGACTTTGAGTTCAAGATGCCTAGAGCTTTGGAATGTATTGCTTTTTTTTCTGTTTTTCTAATGATGCCTCCTAACCTTTACCTCATCTTGAAATGATTTTGCATTTGGTGGGTTGCTCTCCCTCCACTAACTCTTGGTGTTGGCAAATTGAGCTGATTACTAAATTCCAGTGCTGAGCCATCATCAGGATGGAATGCTCTGCTGCACCGTCCTCAGGGACCCAGCGCTGGCACCAACGCTGCGCAAAGGCAAGGTAAGGATTTAAATCATCTCCTTTTTTAATCTTCATTCCCCAAATATTAGTTATCTATCTCCTGGTTGTTTTAGAATCAATCTTTATATGCATGTTGACTTTGCAAACAGTAAAATATATTAAATAACTTTAAAGTTGAGTGTTGGCGTTACGTGCGCTCCGATCTGCAGGGGAGGGTGGTGGCCGTGACAATCCTGTCGTGCTTGGTCTGTGCTGTGGGATGAGAGATGTTGGAAGTTCTCCAGAGCTTTTGCTCAAGCCGCTTCACCTCCTTGCAATAATTAGAAAACAGCTCTTTTTTCCCCTGGGTGTTTATTCCTTTAGCCAGATATTTACAGTTTTATAAGTAATTTATTTTAATACATGTTTTTAGGATTAATCAGACACGGTCACCAAATTTCTAGTAGTTAAACATAAATTCACAAATGTTTTTTAGAACAGACATTTCTCTATTAATGGATCAGAAAATGTAGATTAGATTAGATTACAAACTGCCTCCAGAGTAGGGAGGGCAATACCCGCCTCCCTCTCCGTTCAGGGTGCCTTTCCCAGGGCTTTGGAGTAGTTCTTTGCAGTTGTGAAGGGGTTGCCAATATGGATGTGATTTGAATTCTGACAATTCCCAGGGGCCATTGGCCAGTTCTTTGTCGGGTCAGGAAAGCAAACACAAGGAGTCACCTTAAACCATTTATTTATTTCTTTACAATATATACAAATACAGGTTTATTCTTCAAGTCAGCAGAGAGAAAATAGTCCGGGTAGAAAAGTCAATTCTAAAATTGTTCATTTTACATGGTTTCCAAAGGCTATAAGGACTGGCAGAGGGTGATGGTGCGTTGTCAGAATCCTCTTGAGGTGCTTCAGGAGGAGAACATCTGCAGAGCTGTCAGTGGGAAACAGCCTGTGCCGCGCAGAGACCGCCTGCCAATGCTTGCCTTGGTGTTCAGTGTGCCAGCTCTGCCCAAGGGCCCCGCTATTGAACTTACCAGGTATGTACAACAGACAGGAAAAACCCTCCACCCGGGTTAGAGGGAGTGGGGTCCCCTAAAAAACTGAGTTTCTAGTGGTGCAGTAACAGGCGGGGGGGGGGGGGAGGCACTGGAGTGTAACGCTGTCAGTGGGGTCATCTCTGTTACAGACAAACTATGGATGTAAGAGGCTGTATTCTTGAAACATTCACATATTCCCATGTTAGTCTTTAATGCCTGAAAGCACGTGATTTCTAAAGCAGATGGCTATTGAGATACTTCAGCTAGTAATGAAAATTGAAACTGGCAGAGATGGTTTGTTTTTTTTTTTATTCTTCTAAATGCTAAGCTTGGCTTTAGTCAGCAGAGACAGAAGCCCCTTCTTCTGCCCCAGCTCCTGCAGCCCGACCTGTGCTGCAGCAGGGCCCATGGCTGCCCCACACCATCCCACTGCTGCATGTGCTGTGCCAGGAACAGGTAGGACAGGGGTAGAAAAGTAGCAGTGGGCTCAAAATAGTGTAGAATAAACTACTTCTGAGATTTCCAGCTGGGAAGTGTTCAGCGTGAGCCCTGCTCCCACCCAGGGACCGCCTGTTTCTGGAAGGTGTTGGTGATTTACATTCCTTTCTCTCAGACTTTATCCTGGAAGCTGCTTCCTGTAAATAGTTTGTAATGTAAAGATGAATGTATTTCCCTAATTGCTGCCTGTGCTCAGCCAAAAGCACAGAGAGGGACACAGGTTCTTTGTCAGTCTTGTCACAGGAATGTGTGGACAGGTTTTCCTGCAGAAATAAAACTCTGCCTGAGCAGATAAACCTTCCTGTTAGAATTAAGTAACTCAGTGTGTGGAATCTGTGTGACTGGGCTGGCACAGAAGGTCACACACACACACTCCCACCCCCTGTGTAGTGCTTCCAGCGGTGGTGTATTCTCATTATTAGGATAGTTGGCATCAAAGCAAAGGAAAGGAGTCTGTCTTCTTTTCCAGCTTCACCCCAAAATGTACCACATTTCACCAACAAGTGTTTACTGGGGTGTTTCCCAAAGCCCAGACTTGACGTGATCCGTGTCCAGTAATGAACGTACTAGAACCAGGTAATTAATTGCCTTACACAGTTTCAGGTACCCACGTGCCTGTAAAGTTGGGGTTTTAAACAGAAGCTGGGTATTTTGCTGTTCTCTTTCTCTGTGATAACCAGCAGCAAGAGCAGCTTTAGACTTGGATTGATGAGGAAGAGACTTATATTAATAAGCTATTAGAAAATCATTGTCTTAGCAGAAATGGTACAAAACTACTGTGTTTAACTTGCCCCTGGAGGTCAGGCTGTTGTTAGAGCTGTGTTACACGCTGTGACACGGCTGCTCTCCACCCATCATTTCCCAAGGCTGGTTGTTTTTAACCTGTGTGACAGAAAACTTTTAGTGGGTGACACCACCAGTGCAAGAACTCGCTGTTGAGTCTCGTGAATGAGTGTGTCTGCCAGGCTGCTGTGACACTGCAGGGGAGAGGAAGCATTTTATTGTCAGTGCTGCTGAACCTAACAAAAAAAGCACCAAACAGGTAAGGGCAAACTCCACAGGAAAGTATTGTTTCTAAAATGCCATAAAAAAACCCCAAAGAAAAAAAATTCTTAGTGATGTGAAACTGCTGCTGGGGTGAAATGACACACAGAATGGAACTAACATTAGAAAAAAGAAGTTGCTTTAGTTGACTTGTGCAGTTGATGTATTTCCCAGTAGTTCCCCAGTATCCCAAGCAAAGTGTGCCCATGGACCTGCGCACACGGGGGGAGAGCAGCCCCGGGGGTTCGGGGGTCACTGGATGGCAGTGTCCTGAGGAGAAGCAGGAACTGCCTGGTCTCGGGGAGGAAACGCCTCAGGGAAACTGGACTTTTGTGTGTGTCTTGGTATTTTTCATGAAAGCTGGGACTGACCTCCAGAGGGCAGGTCTTTGCTGTGGTAGGGGCTGCTGCCTGGGAGCTCTCTGCCCTTCTGCTGACACCGCAGCTGCTGGCTTCTCCTTCATGTCTCTTACTTCATTTTCTAATGACTGGGGTGGGGAGGTGTGTGTCCCGGGACCCCAGCCTGTAACATCCTTCACTTTCCTTCTTGCACTATCAAAAATAAACCCCATTTTAGCTCTGCTGCTGCTCTGGCCTGTGCCTGGGGCAGCTGCTCCCGGGAGCTCCCAGCGCTGGTGTGGGATAACCGAGTGGCTCCCTGCATCCCTGGGTTTGGGGCCGTAGTCACAGCGGGGCCCTGAACCCCTCTGCCCGGGGGGGAGAAGGTTTGTGGGGCCCTCGGTCACCAGGGAAGCTCCTGTGGGAAAGCCCAGGGTGACCAAGCCCAGCACTGGGCTGTGGAGACCGGGGAAACTCAGCACCTTCTTACCTCCCGGAGGGAAACGAGCCCCCCGCAGCCAGCTCCGGGACCGAAAGGGGAATTCAGCAAACACAAACCTTTACAACTGCATTGCTGCGTAAACAGCCACGTCCAGAGTTCTAGTGTCAGACTTCTCTCTGCTCTGGGTCTAACAGACAAGTAAAAAGGCATTTCCTGACTCTAGGGAAAAATGCATTTTGAATTTAAAATCTTGAAATGTTGATTACGTTTATCTCTGCCTTATTCTGAGTTTGGTCAGTTTGGGGTCTTGGAACGTCCTGTGCTGAAAAGAAACAACCAGAACAGTTAAAACATTTTTTTCCTCTAAATCCAGAGAGAGGTAAAAATTCTGCATTTTCTAAAAAGTAGCATATGATAAATATATTATACAGTGGCATGTACTTTGGAACACGGTAATAAATACTAAACACAAGCCTGGAAAACTAGAATTTATAAGAAGAAAATGTTGTTCTTTGTCAAAGTATCACTACCTGTTAGGTGTACTTAGCTATTGTACATCATTATTTTGTTAAAGTAGATAAGCCATAAATAATTAGAGCGTTTTGTGTATATTCCCCAGAGTTACACAGACATGCAGGGAAGGTACAGAATATTTAAATCTCTTTACAATCACTTAACACAGTGTTTAACAGAAATCTTCGGGTAAAAGTGCATTATTTTAATATAATACACGTAAAAGAACCCTCTGGTTCTCTGCCTTCAGTCGCCCCGGGGGGGCAACCAGCTGAGATCAGCTTTTCCTGCAGAAGGGGGGTGTTTGCAGCCCCCGGTCCAGGAGACGTCCCGCCGGCAGCCGGGGGGGTCCCCGGCCTCTCCCCGCTCCGCTCCGTCCCGGCTCCCGCGGCAGCGCCCGGGGCTGGCCCGGCTCCTCCGGCGGCCCTGCGGGGGGACGGGGGTCACCAGACAGCAAATGCGGGGGGACTGGGGTCACCAGACAGCAAATGTGGGGGGACTGGGGAGATCGG